AGGGGTGGGGGGGTTTGGGAAACGGGTTTAAAAGGAAGCGTTAAGGGGGGGGGGGGGGGATTTGATTTTCAAAAAGGTGCCGGGGGGGGGTTTTTTTGTTTTAGGGCCCCGTGGCCCCCACCCCGGGGGGAAGGCCCCCCAAGGGGGGGGGGAGGGGGGGGGACCCGGGGGTAAAAAAGGGGGGGGGTTGGAAAAAAACCACCATGGGGGCCCCCACCCCGGGGTGGGGGGGTCCCCCCCCCGGGGGGTTGGTTTTGGAAAAAAAAGAGGGAAAGGAAAGGTTTTTTTTGGGCCCCCCCCCCTTTCAAAAGAATGGGCGGTGGGGGGGAAAGGGGCCCGGGTTTTATTCTTTTGGGGGGGGGGGGGGAAAGGGCCAAAAAAAAGGGGAAAAAAAAAGGGGGGGGCCCCCCCCCCCCCCCCCCCCCCCCCCCGGCGGTACAGTAACTAACGTGCGATGTTCTTCTTCCTCGCCTCCGCCGGCTACAGATTGCGCGTCGTGCCAGGCGGGTTACGGCACGGGCATCGGCAACACCTGCCACCCGTGCGACGACACGCGGTCCCGGTGGCTCATCTTGGCCGGCTCCCTGTTCACGCTGGTCACCCTGCTCGTCCTCGGCCTCGCGATCGTGTTCCTGGTCGGCGGGCTAGACGCCGTCGAGGGGGTCCGCCGAACGGTGTCCCGGTCGCTGTCGGTCTCCACGAAGTTGCCGCTGGGGAGAAGGAGCGCCTCGGTCGGTAGTGGCGCGGCGGCGGCGGCGGAGGGCGCCGTTCCCGGAATCGCCGCTTCCTTTGCTCCCGCGTTCGAGGAGGGCAAGGGCGAACGAAACTCCTTCCAGGGGAAGCAGCAGCAGCAGCAGACGGCGGTGGACTTCTTCGACGACGGGTTGTTGCGCTCTTCTTCGAAGTCTCCCGATACCGCGGTCGGAGGAAGAAATACGGGACGGTTTTCCGGGGTGCTGTTGCCCAGCGCGACCACCGTGAGCGGCGCCCAGCGGCACGCTACCCTCGGTCCGAGCAGCGGCGGCGGAGGCGGAGGCGGAGGCGTGCAGGCGGACCTAGACCGAGCGAGAGAGGGCTGGCGCAAGGAGGACGAGAAGTCGGCGGCGTGTTGCGGGATCGGGGAGAAGATCAAGCGGTGGGCTGCACGGCTGCCTATGGACAAGCTCAAGATCCTGGTGGTGGTGTGGCAGATCCTCACGGTCTTCCCCACCATCACCGGCGCGGAGTTCCCCCCCGCGTACGCCCAGTTCCTGTCGGTTATCGACTTCATCAACCTCGACATCGGGTCCATCTTCTCCGGCACGTGCATCCTGCCCAGGGTGTCCTTCTACCAGCGGCTCCTGGTCACGACCGTGACGCCGATCGGCCTCGCCGGTGTTCTTCTGCTCACCTACACGATGGCCAAGGGCAGGGCGGGGATCGGGTCGGCGAGCGTGGTCGCGAGAAAGGCGGCGTGGTCGAGACACATGGCGGCGGGACTGCTGTTGACCTTCTTGGTGAGAATTTTTTTTTTTTTTGGTATATATCTTTCCAACTTGTGTTCCAAATTTTTCGTTGGAAAAGGTGATGGCTTCCAGGTGGTAAGCCGGGGACTGCTGTTGACCTTTGTTGGCGAGACAAGCGTTTTTTGTTTGTTTGTATGTATCTTTCCAACTTGTGTTCCAAATACTTCGTTGAAGAGGTCATGGCTTCCACGTGGTTAGCCGGTGTGCCGTGGGCGCTACGTTTGTGCGGAGGGGGGGTGTTGCATCTCCCTCCCTCGACGTGCTAAGACCACGATAGGCGAATGCGGGGATCCTCGGCGAAAAGGCCGACCGTTCATGAACCTCTTGTGTTGTAGATGCGCCGTCGCTGCCATTGTTAAGAAGGTCCTTCGATGGAGGTGTACCGTACCACGCCCCCCCCGCCCGTGAAATATGCTCTTTTAGCACGCTTCACCTACACTCCCGTGTATGTAGCCTGAATCCTGAATCTCGCGCTCACTTTTTGCGGGTGGTTTTGACCTCAATGCGTTAACATCAAAGCTTGACTAACTATTTACCCGTCATTGATATCTCTGCCATGCTTTTCGTGTGACATGTGTGCACATGCCATATACGTGCAACAACTCTCCCAGGTGTTCACGTCTACCTCGACCGTGGTGTTCAAGACGTTCGCCTGCGACGACCAAGCGGTGGAGGGGGACAGCTACCTCAGGGCCGACTACAGCCTGTCGTGCAACACGGACACGCACACGTGGTACAAGGTCTACGCCGGCATCATGATCGTGGTGCGTGCGAACCCGCGCGTTGTTGTTGTTGTTGTTATTGGTTGTGCGACCGGGTGTGCGGTGTTTCTTACTAAATATCGGGTACTCTTGGTCGGGGGGCGGTGTATCCACCCCCACCCGCGGACCCCCCCCCCCCCCCGGGGGGCACGATGCCGTGCGAGTGGACAACCGCGTTTCTTTATAGAAAACATGTGTTTTGAATGTCTAAAAAGACTACTTAAATAGCCATCCGTTCGAAGTAGTACTGTACCCCAGTATCAGGTGTTGAAGGAAGTCTGTGCAGCCGTGAGTAGGGAACTTTTCGCACACGGCTATGATATCGGGCGGATGGATTAGCGCCCCGCATCCTCCGCTCAACACGTTCCGCATACCCCCCGTAGGAGACCCTCGACACACCTTAGAATGGTCCGTTCCCCAGCTCTTTTGCTGCCGCCCCCTCTCAAGACTCTCGACCGTCGCTCAATTCCGCTTCCACCCCCAATGGTCTAAGGACTTCGGCATGATGGCTATGAGTACGCACAAACACACACATAGCCTCCCCCCACGGTGTTCCCTTACGGGGTCCTACATCATGGCCTTTCGAATCACTTTTATGTTTTCAACCGCTCTGAGACTCGTTGGTCAGCGGTCGATGCTAATAAAACACATACACACACACACACCTCGCGCCTGCAGGTCTACCCCATCGGGATCCCCCTCCTGTACGCCTTCATCTTGTGGATAAACCGGGACTCACTGAACCCGCGGCCACGGCCTAAGGCCACCGACGACGACGACGACGACGACGACGACGCGGACGCTTCGGGGTGGTCCGTTGCATCGAGGAAGGCTGGCGGCGGCGGCGGCGGCGGCGAGCACGTCTCGAAGGAGACCCCGGAAGAGCTAGAAGAGCGGCTGCAGAAGCGGAGGCAGAACCCGGACCTTGTGCCCTCCATGTTCCTGTGGAAAGACTTCGGTAAGAGGGAGACAGAGACGGGGGGGGGGGGGGGGGGGGGGGGGGGGGCCCCAAATCGGGGCGGGCCGAATTGTTTGGCCCTTGGCCCCCCCCCCCCCCAAAGAGGGGGAGGGGACACCCGGGTTTTCCCCGGGGCCGGGTCTCCCATTACCAACGGGCAAAACCCCGGGGGGTTTTGGGGAGTCCCACGGAGGGGGGCCCGCCCCCTGGGAAGGGGGGTCGGGCCCTTGGGGTTATTTCCTTCGGTTCGGGGGACACGCTGCATCGCATTTATTTTTTTTTGGGGGGTT